CGAGAATTTGGTTCCTAGAATCGATTTTTCATTCTGAACTAAACCATACACTGAAAAAAAAAACTCCGGCTGTGCGAGTCGTGCTTACGGGCTATATAGACATGTGGTCCGCGTCCCGGGTTCAGACGCCGAAAGCTCCGGGCGAATCAATCGAAGCTACGGCTCCAGCACTCGGATAACTCTCGGCCCCTGAGCCCGGAACGGACGGTATGTCTATATAACCCGCAACTTTTATTTTCAGTGTAGAAAAAGCTCGGTTCCTTGAACCGATGATTTGGCTCCTAGAATCGATTTTTCGAATTGAATTGAACCTGGAAAAGCTCACTTCCATGAACTGAGGATTCTTTTCCAAGACCTAGAGCCGAGATCACGGTTAGATGAATGGAGTAGTACGGCCCATTTACGTAAAACACCGCATCAATGGTTCATAACGGCCGAAATTTTTTTTCTCAATGTGGGTCTCTCACACCCCTCACGATCAGCCCTTCTAAGCTTCTAGACAAGAGTTGTATTCATGCATGTGGTGGTGGAACTTGCAACTCATCAAGAGCTTTTGATCGGTTCTCCATATCAGCCGTATATCCTTTTTAGCTCTTGTAATTGTACTCAGGTTTAACCGTTATTTTCCTGGTTTTTGTAACTGTTAAGGTTCAGTTACACGATCAAATTGAGCCATCAAACTGAAACTTTGATTGGTGGAGAAAGACCTGAGGTGAGAATGCGACCAATGAAAGGCCCAATTTGATGGCTCAATTTGATCGTGTAACTGGACCTTTAAATCGGTTATTATAAAAGGTTCTTTCTTCAGTTCGGTTCAGGCTACCGAACAAGTTTTATTTTTCAGTTTCGTTTGCGAATCTGGTTACATGAGAAAGAGTACTGTTATTTGAACCAAGATATATGGCCATACATGAACCGTATAATACGGTCAATATGGAACATCGTACTACGGTTCACAATGATAGATTTTTTTTCTGTCAGTGCCTTCTCTTAAAAATGTCCCATTCGTCGAATTTCACACGTGGGGCGTACGAAAAACTCACAATGCCCGTTATTTGATGCGGCTTCATAATTATTATGCTCCCTTTGCTTTCTCCATCTTCTTACAATGGATCGTTAAAAGCACCGTCGTCAATAGAGGGAAAAACCTTTTCAAATCTATTTTTTTCCGAAGCTATTCTACAAAGGCAAGCGTCGAGCGTGCTTTATTCCTGGAACTGACGCATTTTTCCTTCATTTGCCAGCAACAGAGACACTATGAGGCTCGTCAAAATTTGCCTTTTTTTTACCCCGTAATTTTCCCGCTCGCCTGGAAAGAAGCGTTAAAAAAGGCAACCCTGGCTATTTTTCACGGCCATCGCGAGTGCTCGTCCATTCTGTCACGGAGATTCTTCGTAACGCGCGGTGTTATTTTGAAATTCTCCGAACTCGGCGCAAAAAATTGACTGATCTGTTCTCGCTGCTAAAAGCCTCCATCAATGTCACGCGGTTCGCGCCGTAGGAGCTTTTTGAGCTAGGATTGCCGGTTCGCTCGAGCTTCTTCGGTCGCTGCACGGGCACGATCAAAAGCTGTAAAAGCTGCATTCAAAAGCTGTATATTCTATACATTAAGCCAGGAATCGGCGCCGTCCTTTTGAATAGCATCACGTTCCGGGACTTGCTGACGTTGTTATTAATCTGCAAAGTTCATGTATGGGCAAAAGGTGTCGAGGCTTAAAAAGGCTGCTGGAAAGGCCGTCGCAGACCGCCGCCATCGCGAAAAAAGTCCGTCCGTTTTGTGGGTGTGTAGTGTCGTGAACTTGAGTGTCGCGAATTAAAGTGCTTTCACTTGTGTTCATTCCTCGGGTTCAGTTCGGTTTGGTTTTATTGAACTTGCGTGCTTTCTCAGAGTATATAGAGATGGGGAAATCTAGAAAGGGTATGTAGAAAGCAGGGATTTTCACCATAAAAATATTCAACGTATAAATACAGAAATAATGAGTGTCTTTCTTCCTTACACTTTCTCTCTTTGATTCTGAGCTATTTATATTAATGTATCGTCATTTATTCGATGTTGATCGATCAAGAATACTTGACCGAAGAATACGAAGTCAATCAAAAATTCGATTCTTACATTTTTAGGCTAGGATGAGACAAAATCACAATTTTCCATGCCTAAAAATTATCAACGCATCATTTTATCTCTCCACTATAAACTCTCAGGTCCCTCAAATTTTCATTTCCTGGGGTAGAAAAATTTCTATGAATTTTGACTCTCGGCATAGTCTTTAGATTCGTTCCTTTTCTTCCAATTTTCGAATTAAGATTCAAACTCCTCACTGCCGCAAACTGCTGGAAAAAGTTAGCCCGCGTAGTTGCAAATTTACAACTAAAGTAAAAGACTTGTATCAGTTTTATCGAATGAGAATTTTGTCCATTCCCTGGAAAATTTTCATGGCTCTTGTTAAACTTTTAAACAAATTTTATTATTTTCATACGTATATCGCTGTTATTTTTAAAATTAGATTCCTTGCATCATGCCATGTTACCGAGTCGGATTAAAGATGCGTAAAATTTACTATCCATTTTGTGTTTCTTAGGAAAGTTGTGATCAGTGGATGTTACTGGTGCATATTTTCGAACTTACGTCGGTTATGAGTTTAGTTCCTAGAGAATGTTCTCAAATTCCCTTCAAATGCTCGCTGTTTAACTCTCTGGATCTCGCGGTTATAAGTGTTATTGTGTAGGTCAGTATCTTCTCTACACATTGCGCTGGCAAAGTGACGATCCCCCAAGAAATAAACGCGCATGCCCAACTGATTTATGCCACGTGTGTTTCACCAGATTATTAAAGGTTTTAATTGGTAAAAGACTGTACATTGGAAGCACAGGAGTTATAATTTGAAATTTTGATCCTTCAAAGGGATTAGTGTCGAAGAATAAATGCCGAAGGTGAAGTATTGAGAAGTGTAAAACCGAATGAGCGAATAAGAATTCAAAAAAACTAAACTTTTGAACGCTAATTTTATTTTTGACTTTTTTAGGCCATTGATTATCATATGGTTGAAGTGTTTGCAAAGGCCGCTTAAGCTTTTCTCCCGATCTTGCATTGAATATGGAGATGGCTCGAAAAAACTTACGTAATATGAATTCGATTTTTTAATTTTTTTTTTCACTTCGGAACAATTCTAATTTGGAATTCGGTTTTAAAAAGATTTTGATCGATTCAGCTTTGAGGTATGTCGGTCATGTTAAATGTCGCGTGTAAATCTTAAAATGGGAAATATCTATATTGCATCTATTTTTAAGCCTAAATAGTATATTTTGCTCTTTTATAGCATCGCATTCAAGCCATTATACATAAAGGAAATAAGGTCGGTCAATTGTTTTTAAATAAAAATAAAAAACAACACATTTTTAAAAATGCAGTGACAGTTACTAATGAAATGACGTGTAGTTTGTTTTAAAGTTCGGGCAGCACCTTCATAAATTCTGTACATTCTGACTGCAAAGAAGTAAAGATTGTATTGGAAGAGTCTAGAATTTTTGAAGGCTCAAAACTAATGTTTTGTTCTCTCTTTTTTATTTTTTTATTTTTTTTTTTCGCGGAGGAAAATGAATAAAAACGATCAAACTATTGCCGTTAACAAAATTTAAGTTCCTTCAGTGAATCGTATTAAAATCACGGCTTAAAAATTAAATCACTGCAATTAATTTTTTAAAAAAAATCAATCTCTAGTCCAAAAAAGTTGGAAGAACTATTTCCCTTTCATCTCAATACAGTCATGAGATGGGAAACTCTTTTGAAGCGGAAAAAAAAACCTCATTCCAACTCGAAGAATTTACCTCCGAAGTATCTTCGCTTTAATTTGTTACAATCTGTACCTATCGTTTTGAATGACATATCTTGTCCAACCAGGACACAAACCTATTTAAAATCCGGATCTCTAGAGATGCTTAGAGTGCCGATCAGAATTTCCCGTCAATATACATAAATGCATTTTCAAAAATGGAGGATCTTTGATTTTTAAATCGGCTATTCTAAGGATATAGCGTGAATACATTCAGACTCTGTCGGACATGATACGACACCTTATATTCCCATTTATGGCCTCTCCGCAAAATTAAGACGCAATTCGATGGAAAGGCAAGTGGACTGTAGCCTCCCAGGTGCGGTCTTTCTATTGGTGGGGTGGGGGGGGCAGGGGGGCTCAAATGCGAATTCTGCAGTCCATCCTTCAGAGAAAAAAAATTTAACTAACCCCTTTCGTCAAGCGGAGAAACAAGACCTCAGAACGCCTATTAATTATTTATAATTTAAAATAGCATTCCTATGAAACCGCCGTTAAAAGAAATTAACTGATTAGTTTTCTTTGTGTGTATAATTTATGTGGCATGCGTTGTTAGTAGTCCAGGCATTATAGGAAAAATAGAAAAAAAAATTTATATATAAGGTTTTATGTGCCCAAGTTGTTCATTGGGGTGCCAGGGACTCCCAGCAAAAAGTCCCCAAGAATCCCCTGTACGCTCGACCCCCCGCCCCCCCAAAACCCCCCAAAAATCGACCTTTCCTCGGTTTTTCGTAAATATCTCAAAAAGAATTGGTTTTAGCGAAAAATGAGTTATCTAGTGAATAAAAGTTCATAAAATTTCCAATAAAAATGATTTCTATGAATTTTTTTGTAAAACGACTTTGAACCCCTCAAAATGGCCGCCGAAAAAACGGGCNGGACTTTTTGCTGGGAGTCCCTGGCACCCCAATGAACAACTTGGGCACATAAAACCTTATATATAAATTTTTTTTTCTAATCGCCGATTTTTGATCTAATATGCCTGGACTATAGAGCGTCCCAGTCACGTCGATTCAGCATGCAAGAAACAATTCAATAGCTAAAGTCTCAAAGAATGTTATCCAAAATTCCGTAGCCGTTATTATTTTGGCGAGGAAAAAAATGTGATATTTGATCCCATGATATCATCAGTGATTCTCTACCAATTATCATGACTTACTTTTGTTTCAGAAATGAAGATGAAGTGTGGATGTATCAACAGCAGTAGCGTAAGCTACGACCAATTAACAAATGGGATCAGTTTTCCAGATCTAACGGAGGATAAAGACTTGTCCACTGAGAAACAGGTACGCACAGGATTATCTGATAGAATGAAACAATGTAGGGATGGGATCCGAGAGGTTTTCAATCTTTTAAGATTTGTAATTACTGACGTTTCCTGAATAAAATAAAGTGATGAAATACTGTGTACAGTCGGAGTGTCAAGGAAGGATCACGTTCGGAATGAAGGACACGCGAAATTATGGGCGTCGGAAACATCATAGTGCATGACATTTTCACGAAATAGCTTGTCTGGTTTAGGCATTTGCGAAGGATTCTAGATGATAGGATAGGGATAGGTTGCCTAAGAAGGTTCTGAATTGGATCCCCCTGACGGAAAACGTGGAGACGCCCTGCTAAATCGTGGATTGATAAAAAAAAAGGCAGGGATTGAGGAGACGCGATTTGCCGGCGCGGCGGAGCTCTAGCAGGATCGCTATCTGCGGCGGTTGGGTGTCGCAGAGCGCATGGAAGCGCTATTAGAGGGGCATGTCAGTAGTAGTGGTATGAAATACCGATTTATTTTAACAAGATTTTTCTCTGAACTTTTGATCGCCTAATTCGAGGATAACAATCTTTTACCTTTTGTATCAGGGTTAATTAACAATTAGAAGGAGTTTAATGTCTCGAAATTTACCGCCATATAAGAATTTTTATATTGTTACCATTCAAGAGGTAAAATTAATACATTTTTAGATTTTAAATATATATGTTGTAACCCTTTTAGTATCTTTCCGAAAAATTTAAACAATTCTACCGCGCATCCTCAAAAATAAAATGACCAAAACTCTTCTGTTAAGCTTTCATCAACTTTTGTCCCAATCAAGTTCCAAATTTTACTTTATTGATCCGTAGAGTTTGAACTGCTGTACATGTGCGATTTCCAGTTTTTTACTTATTTCTCCACTGTCACTTTTGTCGCTTCTTTAATATTTTCATAATCTCGTGCGACACATACACAAACAAGCCAGAATGAAAACACCCACCTATCTTTAGGAGTCTCTCACGTGAGATTCATACCTTTCTTATCGAAAATTAGAGATAGGAAGCACTCATGTTTTTAACATACTACATAATTACATGTAAAAAAGCACAAGGAAAACATTTTATCACCTACTTAAATTACCGAAGGAAGGAAGAGTTATCTTTCGTGCAGGTGTTAAGAAAACACACGCAAAATAAATGTATGCGTCATTGATTAAAATAAAATTGGTGAAGAATATCCGATTATTTTTTCCGCTTATATTTATAATCGAGCATCACTCGTAATAGGGCACACTAATTAATTACTGTGCACCCATATAATATTTACTTTTCCTTCCATTCGATATGGAGATCTCTTTTCCCTTGCTGGACTTCTTGAAGTAGCAATGATTTTTATCTTTACGCATTATGAAAAGTAAAAAACAGTTTCTGAACCTGAAATCTTTAGAAATGGTTTTCTTTCTCAAAGTTAATTAATTAATTAGCGCTAATTTTAAATTTTTCTCGTGATAATTATTTGAAAGAAAACTCTACACCACTCTCAATGAAACTTTCAGAATAGGCACACTGGAAAAAAAAAAACACATTGGATCTAGAGTCCAGACTCTTGAAAACATTGACAAGAAAAAATACTCTTGATTCAATCGGATTTTTGCTTGAATCAAAACGAAATCCGCGCTTAAATTATAAGAGGCTTGGTTCTTGATTTAAGCTAGATTCTGATGGAATCAAGAGTACTTTTCTTTTCGATGTTTTTAAGAGTCTGGACTCTAGATCCATGTGGTTTTTTTCCAGTGCACAGTCGTCCCCGGTTGTTTCTCCTTTTTACTTTCTCGCTCCCCTCGCGGGCAGAGGGAGTATTTTCCTTTTTTCCTCATCATCATAATTTCTTAAGGCGTGAAAACTATGGCTCGTATTCGATACATCCAACAGGTGTGTTATAGAACGTATTCGATACATCAAACAGGTGAGATTGCATTAATATCGATTGGTTCAACATGTAAACATAGCCTTAAAAGTCAATCGAGTAATCAGCCTTGGGAACGGGGTTTCGTAATTGATGTTGGATTCCTATGGCAACGAAAAGTAAAATTGTCAGGAATTTCTTCTTTTCCAGCTTTTCTAACTTACATCCTAAAATTTTTGTTCGTGGGTATACTCTATTGGTTTTAACCAAACGATACATCGAACTCCTGTCGAAAAGATCTATTGAAGAATGTTTGAGGGTACGGGTGATTAATTGTTCATTTAATGAGTTTTTATTTTGTTACACTACCTTATAATTTTAAATGCATTACTCCCTACTTTCCTTGTATATCTGTGCATAGATTGATGCGTAGGTACGCCTGGAGCGAAAGCTCGCCGTAATCATTAATAACTGCATATTCAAATTTTCCCGCTGAAAGGGAGTGAGGTGTGAGAAAAGCGCCATGTGCACAACTCATAGCAAGGGTAAAAGTAGGGCATATTTCTCTGGGTGAAGGACCTTGCGCACAATGAAGACGTAATTAATCAACTATGAAGAACGGTGAAAATTGCATGATCCCGCCCAACCGTGGCTGATTTGGAGTGATTTAATGCAACAATGAATCGAATATGGTGGTCGCAGAGATCATTCATCGGGAAAAAACCAATGGTGGTCCCGAGATTCTTGGATATATGTAGGTATATCATTCCCAAGTAATCTAGTAGCCAATACTAAATTTCTGACAGTGGTTATTAGACGGCTGGTGCACGTAATCAGACGCATAATTGGACCACCATATGCACTTGGGAACTACAATTTCTGGCTCACCTTAGGAACAACGTATGTGCCATTCGTTTTCCAATGGGCATACGTGTTTGTATCGATGATCTAGAAATTTTATTTCCTAATTGCAAAATGTAGTCGAATTAGCACGGGCCGAGATCTAGCAGTACAGTCACTAGATCCCATAGAGATCATACGAGGGCTGTCCCAAAAGAAACCGGACTTTTGTCATAGAGGGCGAAGCGAGCGTCGTAATGAAGTTTTTTTGGGCTTGTTTGAAAGCTGATAAGCTACTGGAGATACTGGTTTTTAAAGAATGCAAAAATTCGTCTTGGTAAGGAAACTATACGCTTTGGAATAAAGGAAAGTCAAACTCGAGTTGCGATTTTTGTCTTCATTTCAAGAAAAATTTAGATACAACTTAAAGAAACCCAGGTTTTAAGTTAAAAACTTCGATGCTCTCATTCAAATGCTTAAAAGTAAGGAAATTAACATTTTAAGCAGCTTACCAAGTCATCACCTATCCCCTTCAAAATACTCGCCAGCTTTGTCGATGCATTTTTGCCACCATTTCTTCAATTGGGAGAAACACTGTAGGAAATCCTCAGGTTTGAATGATCGCAATTCCTTCAAGGTGTTCTTTTGAATTTCCGGAATGGTTTGAAAACGTCGACCTTTCAAGGTAGATTTAAGTCGTGGAAATAATAAAAAATCACACGGAGCCAGGTTAGGTGAATAAGGGGGATGAGGGAGGACACTCATGGCATTCTTTGCACAAAATTCGCCAATTTGGAGGGATGCATGGGCAGGTGCACTATCGTGATGCAGAAAGCAGGAATTCTCTCTCCAAAGCTCAGGCCTTTTTCTGCGGACATTTTCGCTTAATCGTCTCAGAACACCATTGTAATATTCGCGATTGACAGTTTCACCTTGAAGGAATTGCGATCATTCAAACCTGAGGATTTCCTACAGTGTTTCTCCCAATTGAAGAAACAGTGGCAAAAATGCATCGACAAAGCTGGCGAGTATTTTGAAGGGGATAGGTGATGACTTGGTAAGCTGCTTAAAATGTTAATTTCCTTACTTTTAAGCATTTGAGTGAGAGCAACGAAGTTTTTAACGTAAAACCTGGGTTTTTTTAAGTTGTATCTAAATTTTTCTTGAAATAAAGACAAAAATCGCAACTCGAGTTTGACTTTCCTTTATTCCAAAGCGTGTAGTTTCCTTACCAAGACGAATTTTTGCATTCTGTAAAAACCAGTATCTCCAGTAGCTTATCAGCTTTCAAACAAGCCCAAGAAAACTTCATTACGACGCTCGTTTCGCCCTCTATGACAAAAGTCCGGTTTCTTTTGGGACAGCCCTCGTATACTCATTATCAGGTATCTAGTAACCACACCAAAATCCTGCATTATTAGGTGATTTCAATGATGCTAAGCAGGGGTGCAGAAAGTGCTTGATCGGCCGATCGCGGAGCAAATGTGAAGGCTCCTGAATTGGGGCAAAAAAATGTCAAAGCACCTGGAAAAACGGGAAAAGAATGTGAATGTAGAAGGCGTAAACCAGCTAAGCGCATAGGCAGCTTTTTGCGTAGAAAACTGTGTAACGCGCTCTTTTATGCGTAGAAAATAGTGAAACGCGCAGCGCAAGTCCTATGTGAACAGCAATGTGAAGGCAACCTCAAAAAATGCGGAGGCTGCCTCCAAAAATGTGAAGGCGAAGAACTTTCTGCTGCCAAGTATACCACAGTTCCTCCGTGTTTTCATCAAGAGTGATGAAGTGCCAAATTAAGCCTTCGCGAAATCTTTTCTCATAGATTTCTCCGGTTACTATCAAGACACTAAAAGAATTACGTCAAGAACGGAACCGTTTTAAATTTAAAACACAGCAGCGTAAACCGCTATCGAGTCTCATGGAAGATTAAAACTATGAAACCTTTATTTTGCAAACGAATTTAGTCTGCTTTGGTTTGTATCTGCGTGCGAAACATAATTCATCCGATTGATCTTCTCTTTTTGATAACACTGAAGTTAGGTTTTTGATAATGAAAACAAATTTAGCACACCATTTAACATCACAATCTTTGCTTTTCTAAAATTTTCACCTTTTGTTTGAAGACCTCATTGTATTTATTTTAAATAAGACTATGATACACTGAAAAAAAAAGCCTCGGCGTTTTTACCAAGGTCCGTCGGTACCTTTACCATCTCACTTTTTTTTACCAATTATTTGTAATTTTACCAAGACAGACTGGTAAGCTTACCTAAAAACCGGTATTTTTACTATTTTTTTTTTTTTCAGGTAAGAATACCACTTTTATTGGTAATTAATTCCCGGTAACTTTGCCATTTTATCTCGGTAATTCTACCACAGGCGATAAAAAATATTGGCGTTTTTACCAAGGTCCAGTTAACTTACCGAGAAGTCCATTAATTTTACCGAGATTCTCGGTAAAATTACCAATTCCATAAATGGTAATTTTACCAAGAAAAAACTGGGATCAAATAGAAACCTGAATTCTTAGTAATTATACCCTTTTCTCAGTAAATACACCGAGATTTTTTTTTCAGTGTATTACTCGGCCGCTTAAAGCTCCATTAACTAGCTCGGAACTCTCGAATCAGCGAGACAAAGATGAAAATTTTACAACGACGCCCGATCATCATCTCTCGGATCGAGCGATAAACAAAGAAAAAATATTCACCGCGTCCTCTTGTCTCGGCGCGATTATGGCAGAAGGTCACGCATATTGCATTTATGTGCAGCAAAAGACGCGTTAATCTCTCCAATTATGGATGAGGGGATCGGATCTCTAAATTGCATAAGACAGCGAGTCACTGAAATCAGCCGACTGGTCACTCGGTCAATGTCCGGTGCAATGTCCTCATAGAGGAAAAAAAAACAATTCCGAAGTGGAGACGTCACATAGTGGAGACCCAACCGTTTGAGATTTGTCATGCATTGCACTTGAATTGACTACCTGTATGATAAATATTCACCGCCAATTTCCCCCCTTTTAAGCGCTCAGCCACTTACTGTCGTGCAACGCAAATACGCCGTAAACGCCATTTTACATTTTTTGAAACAATGTATCATAGCAGAAAAACTTGTGTACTTTGGGACAATGTTTTTACAGATTTTTTTCGCAAATACTATCAAGAACTTCACCTGAAAATTTGAGGTGCATGAGTAAAACAGTTTTTAATTTAATAAAGTATTAAGGTCCAAAAAACGAGGGAAAATCTTGATAGATTTACCTACGGCGTTCTAGCTTAGCACGGTAAACTTGCCGATGTGGCTTATAGTTTCTTCCTGCTTACCGCGGTTCAAATAATCACTCTTCAATACATCACATGGGCGTTGATTACTTCAGTTAATGGGGGCTTATAAGTTCCATGAAAGTCAAACCATCTTAAGGGTCAATGGCGATAATTAACGCAACTGGTAGTACATGCATTTATTGAACACCGATTAGGAATTCAATACGACCTTAACCAGAGTTAAGCACAAATATGCTCTTATAAATATCTCTCGCTTAACTAAAAAACTTTCGTTTTGTATGGAGATTAAAACACCAATGCTGCTGTTTTAAGGAAAAACGCTGTGTGAAAGTTTAGACGTTGCCGAATTTCTTTTGATGAAGCACAATCCACGTAAACAAAATAAATTGTGGCTATTTTTCCTTGAAATTCACAGAGAATATTTCCTGTAATTTATTTCAAGGGAAAATATTCATAACTTTTTTCTAAATTAAACGTTTTACCGGAAGAAAATTGGCTACGTCTGAATAATCGAAAGGCGTTCTTTCTAGCACGGTAAAATATCTCTCTGTGTGCATTATATACAAGGAAATCTAAAAAATTAAATAATGATGAATGCTAATTCAACAGTCGCGCTTCATATGTTGATTTCATTCCCTACGCTTCCGCAGTAAAGGCAAAAAAAACAGTAATCGTTTTGATCATGCTTCTCAAAACAGAGATTATAAATCAATAAATTAATGTAGTAGTAACCAGGAAAAGAAAGGTAAAATCAAAAAAATCTAAGGGAAATGAGGAAAGTCCTCTATTTGCAACGCTTTTTTTCAACTAAGTTTTAATAATTTGCATTAAACCGAATCTAACTTTTACTCAAACTGAAACTGGTCTAAAAATGCAGGCTCTTCGGTGAGATGTAACCCAATAACATGGAAAATAGATCAAGAAATATGGACCAATAAATGTCGACTTAATAAGATAAGAAAAAACAACTCTTCCTATACATATTAATATGTACTTATAAACTACTAAATCGGTGGATTAGGGAACTCTGCAACTCCCAATCGGCACCGTAACCTATCCCCTCAAATGTCACGAGGCGAAAAAATTGTCCTACCACAATGACGTAAATAATTCAAAGGTTACACATCCATGCAAACTTTTTATGTCAGGTAAACCTGTCAGTTTCACGTGTCATGTTATGAGAGGCGGATTGATTGATTCTTGATGTACTTTTTAGCGCTGAAATCCGAAAAAATTTCCCAAAAATTGCACCACAGTGAGATTCTCAGGAGAGTTAGAATTTTCCCTGAAAACTAGCTTCCCTGGAAAAATTTAATTTTTTGAATACCCTGTGAAAGAGATTATTGTATTTTCGGATTTAGCAGCCAAAAACATGAATACATCCACAATATTCTGTATTTATTCTATTTGCTGTATCTGATAAGTCTTTTTGGTCGAGCAATATTTGCCTGCTCCCAATATTTACTTTTTTTAAAAATGTGTCTTAGTTCCTAAATGTCTTCAATACCATAGCATCAGAAAAATTCTCTACGTTGTTTCAGGTGGAAGTAGCTTTTTACAACGACGATGGAAGTTATCAAACTGTCGTGGTTGAGAAGAATTTACGGGCCAGTGACCTTTGCCAAATTTTAGCTTTAAAAAACAGAGTTGGTTTGGATATAAACTGGACAGTGGTTGAACATTGGGTAGACGTAGGCTTAGGTGAGTTATTATTTCTTTATTCCTCTTTCAAAAATCTAACAAATATACTCCTTACTGTCTGCTTGGTCTATTTGTCTCCAATCTACAAATCCACAGAGATTTTAACAAAAATAGAACATGCTTTCATATCCATTTAAGATCACAAATAACCTGTAGGAGCAGCAAATGTCTACCACGATCCTACGATCAGTTGATTTGTTTTGTTTCACTTACGCTTCACGCTTAACTAACATGAAGTACGATTGAACCGTCTTAAAAGTGAATTCATACATCTTCCGTACACAGTTCAGTGGACAAATAATCAATTTGAACTCTGCTATTTTCAACACAGAATAACTCATCTGGTGAAGAAGTCCACTAATCATTGTTTTGATGCACAATAAGTGCATTTTTCTGATTTGATTTCCATGAAAATTCGTGTAACTTTGCATTAAATGCTTTTCTTGAGCATTGAGTCCATAAATTCAAATAATTATCACCAGAAGGGTGACCAACGATCTTCTCAAGTGTTTATTTTCGAAATTTTTTAGTTTAAGAGGATCTGAGGTGCAACAAATTTTACTCCTTTTCGTTACTTTAAAGTGCCGTTAATATTTGGAACTTGAACACTTAACCGCCGTAATTTTTCTTTCCATAGAAAGAAGTCTTGAAGATCATGAAGACGTGTTTTTGGCACACAGAGAAATGGAAATGTATCCACTCAGATCTGCCAAACGATTCGTCTTCCGCAAGGACTTTAGAAAATACGAGTTTTTCAGAAATCCACAGGTAAGCGCACCTTTTTTCCGAAGATTTTTAAATACAACGGGACCTTGATAATTCGTGTCGGATAATCACATTAATCACCTATTGACTCGATTTCAAAATCTACGACATACCTATCATCGGGTTCTAAGTGGGACTTAAATCGTGTATTTAAATCGATCAAATTCCAACGTAAGTTGAATTATGATAGTCGGGGTTTTTGTGTGATAGCAAAAACATTTTTAAGTTTGTTTTGTAAAAAAAATCACTTTACACATATGCATGTATCCTCTATTACCTCATTGTCAAAATTTAAATATTACTTATCCTGTAGTGCCTTGTAACTACTAGTTGCTTTGGAGCCATTAAATCCAATCTACACATCATATCACTGCAATCGAAACACGAATTTGTCTATCAGTGCAGTTAACGTAGCGCTCTCTGAGAGCGAGCGGAAACTCCACTTCCTCGCGGGTTTTGTCGTCTGTTTCAACGAAAGTTCGTTAGAGAGCGCCAACGTGTAGCTCGCAATCGTGTGATAACACACGAGTAGCGTAAGTTGCGTTACAACAAACTGAAGGCGCTCTGAGAGCCGCTTCATATCTCTCCGGAGCTACATTGTGGTGGCCCCCCTGCTAATGCTAGCGGTTTGTGTCAGCAGCTTTTGACTCTCTGAAGGTTCGAATCGTATTAAATTGTCTTGGATATCTTATTTAAATTTTGTGAGAGTAGTTCCTGTCGTTTCTTCGAAGATCAAAACATTTACTTAAGATTCATCGAAGAGGTCTGAAAATAATAAAATTACCAATAAGACTCTATTTTGCATTTAGGGACTACAATTTTTGGCGCAGTTTAGAAACAACGTAAGTACAATTAGTTTTTTTTATGGAGAAAAGTGTTTTTACGCAAATGAGTCAAAAAGTGTCGGTCCTAATTAATTACAAAGTTTAGTCCAATTAATACTGAAAAAATGCGATTAAAATGGAAAGTCCTCATCTCAAATTTACTCATGATGCACAGCATCTAGTGCTTCCTATGATGACAAAGACAATGTAAGCGTATAGACATACGCATTCTCTGCTTAGAGAATGATAGAGAGCCATGCAGTCGAATACTTGGAATAAAGTTTGATTCCAGCCAGCGTAAGATAAGGTTTTTTACCGTCAAGTTAAACGCTCACTCACTTACAACGAAAACACAATTTTTATGCTCAAAAATAGTGCCTCCTTTGCACCTTGCTACTATTCATAATTTGCTTCGTCAAATGCATACTCTTTGGCAAACATTATCTTTGCTTACCTTTTGAATAATCCTAAAAGATGCCAGAAAGGGATCAGCGACCGTTTTGCCTTCATTTTACAAAATAGGTGAAAGCGTTTGCCTCGAAGTCGCATTAGTTAGTGGTATCCCTCATAATAACGCCTCAAGTTGAAAACTCTTAATGATGGCTCACCGTTTGCACTTGTGAGCAGCGCTGTCTAGTTTTTCTCAAGCAAAGCGAATCGCTTTTCAAGGATGGGGAAAGAGATAGTTTGCAAAATTACTGGAAAAACTATACAAGTTTCCACAAAAAATAAAAATAATAGTGTCCTCTGAATATTCCTCATGCTTTTACATTGCTGAAAAGGTAAAGTTTCAGAGAATGTATCCAATAGTGTCCTCTCTGAAATAAAAATGAGCACTGGAGATTCTGAAACTTCGCAATTGAGAAATGCCTTTTTTGCACCCAACTCCTATGAATTGGCTAGAGAAGATTCTCGCGGATTTTTAAGGGAAACATTGGCTATCCCAGAAAAATGGGTGATAGAAATAAAGGAGATTATTTTTAATCTCAAGGGATCAAAATATGTAAGTTATTTGGTTGTCATTCTGCACGTCTGGGAAATGTTTGACCTTATTTTCGGCAGCACTGTATTAAATGTTGACGTGCAGCGCATCAACTTATACAGGGTTATCCAAAAGTCACTGACCACCCCTGTAACTTTTTTCCAAATTGAGATAGAAGTTTGAAACTTTGGGAATGTTCCTCGGTCTAAAGTAGCAACTTTTTGGTCCCCCCAAAATTTTGGGGGGCGGGGGCTAACTTTTTTTTTTCAAATGGCAACCCCCCCTTTGTGATACCTCATTCGAAAGATAATAAGAAAAGAAAATTTTTGGCGCAAACCGCAGGTCAAAATGTTCATTTTTGACAAAATGGCGGCCGGTCAAAGTTCAAAATGGCGGAAATTTGACATCTCCGTTGTTTATTGACGGATTGGTGTGAAACTCGGAATTCTAGGGTTTTTTGAGATGAGAAAAACGATTCTGGCATTGGTTTTCCAGAAAAGTCAGTCTTTTGCAAAATGGCGGCGGTCAAAATGGCGGCCTAGAGCGGGAAGTGAATATTTAGGCTGCATATCGTTGGATTTGCATGAAACTTGGTATCCGGGGGTATTTCGGCACGAGAAGAACGAATCTTTCATTGGATATCTGAAATTATGACAAATTCTAAAATGGTGGCGGAAAAATTGCGGGAAATCAGTTTTACGGCTCTTTACCGATGGATTAGCATGAAATTATTTGATATTTCAAGAATCTAATGAAAGATTCCTTTTAATCCAGCCAAAAACCGCCAGGATATCGAATTTCATGCAAATCCATCGGTAAAGAGCCGTAAAACTGATTTCCCGCAATTTTTCCGCCGCCATTTTGGAATTTGTCATAATTTCAGATATCCAATGAAAGATTCGTTCTTCTCGTGCCGAAATACCCCCGGATACCAAGTTTCATGCAAATCCAACGATATGCAGCCTAAATATTCACTTCCCGCTCTAGGCCGCCATTTTGACCGCCGCGCCGCCATTTTGCAAAAGACTGACTTTTCTGGAAAACCAATGCCAGAATCGTTTTTCTCATCTCAAAAAACCCTAGAATTCCGAGTTTCACACCAATCCGTCAATAAACAACGGAGATGTCAAATTTCCGCCATTTTGAACTTTGACCGGCCGCCATTTTGTCAAAAATGAACATTTTGACCTGCGGTTTGCGCCAAAAATTTTCTTTTCTTATTATCTTTCGAATGAGGTATCACAAAGGGGGGGTTGCCATTTGAAAAAAAAAAAGTTAGCCCCCGCCCCCCTTAAGGGGGGCCGCCCCCCAAAATTTTGGGGGGACCAAAAAGTTGCTACTTTAGACCGAGGAACATTCCCAAAGTTTCAAACTTCTATCTCAATTTGGAAAAAAGTTACAGGGGTGGTCAGTGACTTTTGGATAACCCTGTATAGTCAGTTCAGTCAGTGACATACGGTCTTCAAGGGCTCCATAGCAGGTCGAGGGGGGGGGGGGNGGGGGGGGGGGGGGGGGGGGGGGGGCTCAGAAAGGGGTACCGCCCCCTCTGATTCTAATCGCGGTATGGTTTGCTTAATCGGAGGCCGCTGAGCAAGTTGGAAATTGAAATGGTTAATGGGTTACTTTATTATCACAACGTGATTCACTCGCAGAATTGCCGCCTTTCGCCTCTAGCTGCGGTTGGCGGTCGCGTCTTCCGCATGTTTAATTCGTCGTCTATTTATCAAATGTGTCCTTTGGGAAACCGCTACGTCAGCTTGTTTAGCGCTTTTCAATTCCAACCGTGCCATTCAGCCTCAGTTTTTATGGTCTCTCCGAGGGGGCTGTTTGTCCTGGCTCCTTCGTGACCCAACAGGGCGCGGCTTATGTGCATGCTGAAAGGAGTCGGAAAAGTTCAGCTCTCCGGTTTTCAATTGGTGGCAATACATAAAGGAAGAAATCCTGCAAAATTTCAGGCCGATCGGACCATTTTTAGAGTTCTTACCAGCGGTGTTTTTTTACTAAGGAAAAATTGTGAATTGTTATTTATTACCATTAAAAAACGGTCCTCAATTCCTTAATTTTGAAAATTAAACGCGTCTTGATCAAGGCACTGATAACCATCTTAGTCACACATTAATCGAGAGAATTGGCAAGTAGAAAAAGGTATTGTGACGTCATTAAGGCGTATTTCAATATGCTCGAATTTTGAGCGAGCGCAAATCGTACGAGCGACGGATCCGTCACGGCGCTTCATGCGACTATTGTGGCACCGGGGTGTTACACAGTATCGGATGGAAATGAAGGCGCACTAACGCGCGTCATGCAATGGGCATTTACCAAATACGCTGAGTTTCCGTGAGCAGTACCACGCGTATGATTCAGATCTGTATAGATTTCTGTCTCGTTTATTCATTCAATAATCCCCTATATAGAGTAACGCAGAGGATGGCGTTATCCGCCAGTGTACTGTATCGTAATTTTGCACGCAGCGAAAGACTTAAGTCTCGGTCAAACGTTTTATCTGTTCGCGCACATACTAAATGCTCCCTGGCCCAAAAAATGGTTTGGAGTCGCTTTAATTTTCAAAAGTGTCTACGTTCATACTCTTTTTTCTTTCCAACAATTACGTATTAACTTTTCTAGATGAGCTATTTAGACAACGGTTTCTACGTATCCAGGTAAAATCTTATTAAATTAGCGCGATCATCCTACCTGGTTTTCTGGAAAACATTGAAACAGAGAAATACGCAGCGTCGCAAATTGAAGTTTGTAAGTTTCACCTCTACTTCTTCTTCTTCTTCTTACTCTTTTTTCTCTTCTTCTACTTCTTCTTACTCTTTTTTTCTTCTTCTTCTGCTTCTTACTCTTTTTTCTTCTTCTTCTTTTTCTTCTTACTCTTTTTTTCTTCTTCTATTTCTTCTTCTTCTTACTCTTTTTTCCCTCCTCTACTTCTTCTTCTTCTTCTTCTTCTTCTTCTTCTTCTTCTTACTCTTTTTTCTCTTCTTCTACTTCTTCTTCTCCCTCTTTTCCCTATTTTCCTTCTTCAGCACATTTTCTCTCCTTTCTTACTTCTGCTTTACTCTTGTTTCTCATCTTTTAAGCCGAGCGCGTCATCTCATTGAGTTCGTGATCTAAACTAGGTTTTCTCATTTCGACCGATTCTCCGGAGGTTTCGATTAATAACCATTCCCTCCGCGCGGGGGAGGGGGAGTCCC